TCAAGGCTCAGGGGTCCAGGATTATCTTCTGTGTCTGTGTTAATTGGTTTTCCTTTTCTTTGTTGAAGAGGGTCTGTGCAGTCCTTCTGCCTAGTTCACCATCTTGCGGGAACCTCTTATTTTAATGTTTTCAATTGCAGTCATTATACTTTCTGATGCTGAGATTGTTCTATCTTTGGCCAGTAAGAACCACTTCAAGTTGGTACCTAAGTCCTTCTGATGACGTTTGTGCTCTCCTGATACAAAAAAATATCCCAGACAAACTTTGTATATTTCTTCTAATAAACGGAGAAGAAATGAAAGAACTGGAAACAACCATTTTGTAACCCCTAGTGAAATAATTGATTCAAGCAATATTCACCAATTGATAAAGCCATTAAGTAAAAGGTTTGGGAGAACAGAAGGGCAGTGTTTGCACAGGGAGACAGTTTGGGGGTGGATGGGAGTGAATGGGTAAGAAGGACATAGGGAAAAGATAACTACCAGGAGGAAGTGGGAATAGAGCTGTTACATTGTGAGGAATTGCAGTCAATGTCATTAAACAAAATGTGTTACTAACTGCTGTATGGAAAATGAATTTGCTCTGTAAACTGTGACCTAAATCAAATAAAAATTAAAAAAATATACATACAGAGGCCAAAGGAACAAGTTAAATATTACTACAGAAAATAATCAGAAGAACACGGACTGTGAGATATCCTATAGAATGAATGACTCTTTTCAACAGTAAATTTTAGAAGGAAAGAAAGAGGAAAATACACATAAACAAAATGAAGGTTATTCGAGATGTATGTCTTTAGAGACACAACAACCAAAGGAAATAAAGACATCTTTTAAAGCATCAGGGGGCATCTGAAAATGGACTGGGTATTAGATGATACCATGGAATTATTGCTAATTTTCTTAGATGGCACTGTGGTTATGTAACAAAATGTCCTAATTTTTTCCCCCCAATTTAACTTTTTGTAAGTGAGAGAACATCGTATTATTTTTTCAAGAGAGGGGTGATATAACAAGATGTCTGTGATTTGACTTAATTGAAAAGAAGAAAAAAAAGATGATGTAAGTTTGGCAAAAATCCTCATAATTGTTGAATTGGGGTGATTGGTATACTTGGTTCATTATATATTTCATTCCTTTTTTGTGCATGTTTGAAAATTTTCATAATAAAAACCTTCATAAATGCAACAATGAAACATTTTTACTTACCTGTAGATGGAAGGATCATTGAGGTCGAGTGTTTCGTTAACATAGTCAGCAAGTATAAATGGGAACACTGGGTACTGCATGAGGTCATTGAAGGAGCGGCCAGCGTGCTTGTTTAAGTGAGTCAAATATTCAAAGTTGGTAACTTGTCCAGTGTACCATAAGTTTGTCAGAGCAGTGATGTTTCCATATTCCAGAAGATTAGGAAGGTTATTTGTTAGTATACTGTGGTAGACATCATCACGAACCTAAAATGAAAGGGGGTGTAAATCCTAGATTTTAATTTTAGGCTCACAGACATTTTTCTCCAAAGAACCCATACTATGTCCATGTTACTAATCTCAAGTTCTCCAAAGAAATACTTTTTTGCCCAATGAAATTAACTGATGGAGAATTGAAATTCAAACCCAGGTCTTTCTCCACCTAATTATTGCATACCAGTACTGTTCAAGGTGCTTCTGGTACAGCACTTAACAAAGTCCTTGCATTCAATTGGGGAAAAGCAAACAATTTTGGATGCTAGTCTTGGCAACCCAAGGAGGGGTCACTGTGAATCAGGTCCGACTCAACGGCACTTAACAACACACCAACAGTAAGTCCTATAGAGAAAAGCAGAGCAAAGTAAGGGAGCTAAGAAGTAGAATAAAGAGATAAGTTGTTATTTCATATAGAGTAGCCATGAAATATTTTTGTGATAAAAAGATATCTGGTCAGAGAGCCTGAAGGAAGTGAGAGAATGAGTTACATGAATATCCAATGGAAGAAGCATGCCAGGCAGATAGAACTACAAGTGCAAAGGCCCTGAGGCATCAGTGTGCCTGACATAGTCAAAGAAAAGAAAGTCACCATGGACAGTGAAGCGAAAGGAGAGAATGGTAGAATGGTAGAAGATGAAGTCATAGAGGAAACAGTTGCCACTCTATTCAAGGTCTTATTAGGCTACTGTAAGGGCTCTCTGGCTTTAACTGAGTGACACTGTATGTGACTAGAAGTTTTGAGCAGAGGATTGGCATGATCTGACATACTTTGGCTGCTGTTTGGGACACAAGCAGAAAAAGCAGTTAGCAGGATTTAGTAACAATTTAGGCAAGAGATGATGGTGGCTTATACCAGGATGGCAGCAGTGGAAATGGTTATATTGTAGACATATTTTGAGGGGAGAACACCAGTAGGAGTTACTGATAGAGTAGACGTGGGAGAAGAAAGAAAGAGAAGAGTTAAGGATAAGTCCCAGGTTTTTGGCCTTGCAATCAGAAAGATAGAGTTGCGCTTTATTGAGATGGGGAAAACGAGAAAGAGGTTTTGGGAGAAAGAAGTTTTTATACTTTGAGATGTCAGTTAGACCTCCATATGGCATTTCTAAGTGGACGTGCCAAGTAGAGAGTTAAAGATTTGAAGACTGTATTCAGGGAAGAGGTTTTGGGGATAGTGTTGTAAGCTGTTAGAATATAGATGGTATTTAAACCCACGAGACTGGGTGAAAAGAGGAAAAAGGTCTGAGGAACAAGCCCAGGAACACTCCAAGGAAGAATCTGTTTAAAAAAAAAAAAAAAAAAAAGACTGAGAAGGAATGGCTGGGGAGGTAAAAGAACTAAAAGAAAGTGGTAACCTAGAAGACAAATAAATGAGGGAGGTTTTTTAAGGAAGGAATGTATAATCAGTTGTGCCAAATGCTGCTGAAGGATAAAGTAAAATGAGGACTAAGAAATATGACTATGGGGTTAAGCAACCTGGAGGTCATACATGACCCTGACAAGAGAAGTTATAGGTAGAGTGGTGAAAAGAAAGTCTAGAGTATTTCAAAGGAGAACTGGAGGGGAGGAATTAGATGCAACAAGTGCATTCAACATTTTCTAATAGTTTCTATATAACAAAGCAGAGAAATGGTAGAGGGGATGTGGGAGTCAAGAAAGGAGCTCTGAAGGCATAATGGGCAAGGCATTTGACTGCTAACCAGAATGTTGGTGGCTCAAACCCACCATAGGAGGAAGATGAAGCAATCTACTTCCATAAAGATTTATAGCCTTGGAAACCCAACAGGGGTCACTATGAGTCAGAATCACCTTGATGGCAATGGGTTTGGTTTAGATTTGGGGATCAAGAGAGGTTTTGTCAAAGATAGACTTTACTATACCACTGAGCAAGTTAAAACTACTTTCAGGTGGTTATTCATTTATTCAAGGTGCCCTGGTGGCTCAAAGTTTAAGCACTCATACTACTAACCAGAAGACTGGCAATTCAAACCTACCATTGGTTCCCCAGGACAAAAGTCTTGGTGATCTGCTCCTGTAAACATTACAGCCTAGAAAACTCTATGAGGCAGTTCTACTATGCGGTAAAGAGGCGCTATGAGTGAGAAGTGACTCAACAGCACCCAACAACATTCACTCATTTACTTACAAATTTTTACAGATACAGTCAGATGTTTTGTGGAAGTGGACTTTAATATAATTTTGAAGGATAAAAATAATCCTTATCTAATGGAGTTTATTTTAATTGTTATGTTAGTTGCTGTCAAGTCAACTCTGACACATGGCAACCCTATGTGTGTCAGGGTAGAACTACGTACCACATGGTTTTCAATGGCTGATGTTCGGAAGCAGACTACCAGGACTTCCCTCTGAGGTGAATCTGGGTGGATCTGGACCACTAATCTTTTAGCTAGTAGTTGAGCATGTAACAATTTGCAGCACCCAGGGATTCAGTTTATTTTAATTAGGATTAAAGAATAAGGCAATTTTTATTTGATTTCAGAAACTGAATTAAAGTTCAAATAAATTAGGTCTTCATAAACTTGGTATGACTAGATAGAGTTAGTTATATTGGTCATATGATCACTTAAAAATATATCTATTGATGAAGCTAAATTTACCTTGGTGTTATCAAATGCCAACAGGAGTGTTCTGCCATTTGTTAAAAAGATTTCTACAGCATTATCTCTCAATTGCCACCAACGCTTATGAACTTCTTTAATTTCTTCATATGTCCAGGAAAACGATGCTGGCTCCAACTCTCCCTGAAGACTCTTAAGACAAAGGAAATAAACCAAAGTATTTTCATTACACTAAATATAAAGAATGATTTTAATTTCAGAGTAAAAAAAAAATCAATAAAATGAAAGAGAAAGTCACCCTAACCCCAGCAAAATGACAGAAAAGATTACTTTAAAACTCTTCCACAATAAAACTCTTCAAAATGCTGGCTAAAAATGTAACAAATATTCTCACACATTCTTTCATAGTTGAGCTTGTATGAAAGTAAGTGAAGTGAAATCCCCAGGAGTCAAAAGTAAAGAGAAATTTGAAAAATAGCAGTAAAGAGGAAGTGACACTTTGGGTGCTCAGATGTGTGTGCTTGAGAGCATGTACACACATGCACACGCTGTTTCAGACACTGAGTTACTTGGGATAATGTTCTGGTGCCCTAGAGCTGCTCTGACAAGAACGTACCACAAATGGGATGGCCTTAACAAACAGGAGTTTATTCTCTTACAGTTTAGAGGCTTTAAGTCCAAGTTCAATGTGCCAGGTCTAGGGGCTGGGTGAAAGTCCCTCAACCTTGGGCTTCAGCTCTGCCTCCTGCTCCCAGCCCACTGGAGCTAGAGGCTTTTCTTCACTTAGACAGCTGCTGGCTGCTGAGACTGACAAGCCCAAGTAATAAGACACAGTCCCAATGTTACCAAACAACATGGCAGGTCATCAATTCAAGTCCATTAAAGGTCACAAGATCAGCAGAACATGGCAGGCTGCTGAACAACGACATGGCCACGTGCAGGGTTCAAGTGTGCCATAAGCTAGAGACCATTGCCAAAGCTGCTTCTTATATATGGGAGGCAGACCACATACCCAAAGCAGCTACTCAGCTCCAACAGATTCCACATGGAGTTAATTACCAGTCTCACCACGGAGAATAACTACATTCAGCTGCCCAGCCATTCAACCAGGCCTAGCCAAGTTGACACACAAACGTAACCACCACAGATAACATCTATTTGGGGACAAAAGACAAAGCCATGGACTCCTTGGAATCAGAGTGAAGAAAGTGAGATTGCTTCATAAAGTTAAAATCAGGAAGAGACATATACCTAGTAATAAGTAGACAAACAAAATGTGTCCATCAGAGACTCTCCCTGAGGATTCCTATCCAGGCCTGCCTTCACATGGGCTGAGTTAAAATGAACCTATATACATAGTCTGGGAACTCTGGTAGCATAGTGGCTAAGTCACTTGCCTGCTAAGCAGACGGCTGGCGGTTCAAACCCACCAGCCACTCCTCGGAAGGAAGGTTGGGCAATCCTACTTCCGTAGTGATACTGCCTTGGAAACCCAAGGAGGGGTCGCTATGAGTCGGGGCCGACTCGACGGCACATAACAACAACAACAACAACGTACATAGTCTGGGAGTGCCCAAGCTCAGAAATGAACAAAAAACATAGTTTCCAGGCCCCTAGTAATCCAGCAAGGTAAACAAAATCTCTGGAGTAACACTCCTGGTACTAATGCAGTGCAGGATTCTATAAATAAAGCCTCACTAAATTAAGCTCTCAAATAAGCAGGTACAAAGTGGCTGTAATCCCCTCTGACATTGTTAGCAGAAAGATAAAAAGAAACCAAACTCAATGCCATCGAGTCGATTCAACTCATAGTGAACCCTCCTTGGGTTTCTGAGGCATTATCTCTACGGAAGTAGATTGCCCAATCTTAGTTACCACTGGCTGGCTTGACTACTTTGACAGCTAGAGAGTCAATTCTAGCCTACTTGGGCAAATCCACATGTTCTAGAATGAAGACTTAGGGGCCAGAAGTCCTGTCTCCCCTATCATCAATGTGCTCCCTCCCAGAGTACAAGATCAAGAAAACTTTTAAAAGCATGCATCTAAATCTATTGTAAATTACAAATGAATGTGCACACTATGCTATTCAATGCTTTTTAATAAAAACATCATGAAAAAATCTACCAAAATTTAAAGCTAGTTAGAATTTATTTCAGTTTTCCCTTTTAGATTGACTAACAGGAAACTCTGAGCAAAGTTCAGAACTCAATTACAGTACTATTTTATCTAGGATCCTCATTTTTCTAAAACCTTACTTAAGAAAAAACAACCTGAATTGTGCTGTGTTTATTTTACTACTGTACTGGGTCCCAAATAATTTTCAGAAATAGAAGGAGAAAATATAAATAAAATAAAATTAAAATATTTTAATAAAAATGTAATCTTCACATGCTTAAAACTGAATTCCTCCTTAACTTAAACATTCATTAATTCAATTCAACATATATTAACTAAGCAACTATATGCAACGTACTTCCTTTAAGTGTTCTGCATGTAATATATTTATGTAAAATAAGGAAACCACCATAATGGAGGGAATGAGGGATTTATACAGATATTTAAAGTGCAAGACAGTAAATAACAAATAAGAAGAAAGAACAAATGCTTCAGAAATCCAGAGGAAAGAAGGATCTTCAAGCTATTAAAAAGAGCATTTTTTTTGAGAGTTTAAGAGGGGGAACTAAAGAGGATCTAAGATGAAGCACTAAGCAGATGTCCTGGTCCAGACACTCTAAAACAAAAACTTGAGAAACCAAGTGAAATAGATACAGATAACAATCCTGGAACCCAGAGCTTCAAAGGAAAGGATAAAGAAGTATATCAAATATGAAGAGAGGAAGAGATTGAACAAAAACAGTGAATGTGGAGTGGTAAACTGACAACTGGCACAGCACAGGCATTTTGAATTATTGTAAGCAGTTGCCCAATCAGCACAGGAACCAGATAACCAGCCCTACTTGCCCAGGACTTACCAGCATTTTTTTTTTTTTTTTTTCATCTTTATGCTTAGTTCTTCCCTCTTTGCCCCCTTTTCTTTTAGTTTTCACATTTTCTTTTCTTCTCTTCCTTTTCCCTTATCCTTTTTCTTTTTTTAATCTCCTTTGCCCTGCTGTCCATGCAGTTAGGAATGCCTACCCATACCACTCCCTGGTTGGAAGTGTGTGCTTCTGTGGAGTGACTGCTGCATTCCCATGCAGTCAGGTGTGATGCCTGGCACTTTTGCCAGTACTGTGCTGTTTTCCTTCTTTGTTCTTCCCTCTTCTCCTCCTTTTTATCTTCTTCTTTATTTCCCTTTATTCTTCCTCTTCAGACCCCCTTTTGAAAAAAATGCAGTGGTGCCGGTTCCCAGCCCTGACCCCTAGTGGTGAGTAGTGCCCATCCTCCCCAATGGACGTCAGTGTGCACTTCCCCAGAGTGAGCTCCATGTTCCTGCTGCTGCTGTGTTTGGCAGTTAACACCTGAGCCACGTTTTTTTTTTTTTTTTTTTTTTTTCTTTCCTCTTTTTACCTTCATTCTCAGTTCTTCCCTATTATCTCCTCCTTATTTTATCTTTTTTTTCCTTCTTCTTCCTCTGGCCTTCATTTTTCTTTTTTTGATCTGGCTGAGCAACTGCCTCATGCCCCACCACCTCCGCATTAAGTAGTGTCACTCTGCCATATGTTTGATAGCTAGCACTTGGACCAGTACTGTGCCACATTTATTTATTTGTTATTTGATTTTCTTCTGTCTCACTTTTTTGGTCTCCTCTCTTCAACCATTTTTCCCTCCATTTTGCTTTTTTTTCCCTCCCCCTCCTTTTAATTTTTTCCTATACTTCCCCAGCAGTTGACAGCCAGAAAACCTATCCAGCCACAAACACACCTGCCAGCCTGCCCACTGAGTGAGTGCCACCACCCACTTCTGCACAACTGGATCAACAACAGAGGTCAATACCCCCAAGCCAGCCCTCAGCTTTTCTGCAGAATCAGAGATCAGAAACTTGCATCCATACTTATACCAAATCCACCTGGAGACAGGCGGTGAACACTCCAGTGCTACCAAACTACCAATCAGAATAAGACACCTGTGCTATTGCCCGGATATATTAAAACAAAACAAAACAAAAACTCAGGGTAAAGCAAACCAACATACAGCCAACAAATTAATACAAGAACACAACAGTGTCTCAGAGACAAAAAGACAATTTCAAATCACACAAAACAACAGGACCAGATGGCTCAAACAAGTGACCAAAACACAGGGCTGGAAAATCTTCCAAAGGAAGATTGATAATGCTAATTGATAAGGAATTGAAAAGAATTTTATTTAGGTATTTTCAATAGACAGAGAGACAGTTTGACGAAAACACAGACAAAAGCAAGAAAAAAGAGACAAAACTCTAGAAGAATTCAAAAAACAATACAAGAACAAACTGACAAAATAAATGGAAAACTAGAAACCATAAAAAATAGCAAATACAAATGCAGAAGATTAATGCTAACATTTCAGATATAGGTAACCTATTGGAAGGACAAAAGAATAGAAATGAATCAATGGGAGAGAAAATTAGCGAGATTGAAGACAAGTCTCTTAATACTAATCTATTAGCGAGGCAATCAGATAAAAAGAATGAAAAGAATGAAGAAAGCCTAAGAACTACGTGAGACACTATCAAGAGGTATAACTTAAGAACAGAAAGAGACCAAAAAAAAAAAAAAAAAAACCCACACAAACCACAGAGAAAAAATTGTCAAAGATGTATTGGTAAAAACTTCCATAGTATCATGAAAGATGAGAAGATATGAATTCGAGAATCTTAACAAGCCCCAAATAAGAAAGACCCTAAAAGAAAATCATCAACACACATATCATAATCAAACTTTTCAAACAAAAGACAAAGAAAGAATCCTATAAACAGCTTGGGAAAACTGAAATAGTCACCTACAAAGGAGAACCAAAAGACTAAGCGCTTATTTCTTGGCAGAAACCATGCAGGCAAGAAGGCAATAGGATGACATACATAAAACGCTGAAAGAAAAACACTGGTAATCAAGAATTAGAACATTCCCAGATAAACAGAAATTAAAGAAATTTATAAAAACCAGACCAACCTTAAACAAGATACTAATGAGAGTCCTTCAGACAGAGAACCAACAATGGCAGACAAAAACTGGACATTAACACACAGGACAATATCACTCAGAAATCAACCC